CACAGCCTTGTTCTCAGGGAGCTCGCCCCTCACTGCTCCGTTCACAGAGAACAAGCACCTACTGCGTGCTCCAACACCTACTGCATGTTCCAGATATCTACCACATGTTCCACACACCTACTGCACATTCCAGATACCTACTGTGTGCTCTAACACCTACTGTGTGTTCCACATACTTACTGCACGTTCCACACACACCTACTGCATGTTCCAGACACCTACTACGTGCTCCACACACCTACTGCACATTCCAGACACCTACTGCGTGTTCTAAAACCTACTGTGTACTCCAACACCTACTGCATGCTCCACACACCTACTGCACGTTCCAGACACCTACTGCGTGCTCCACACACCTACTGCGTGTCTCACACACCTACTGTGTGTCCCACACACCTACTGCACGTTCCAGACACTGCCTCAGGACTGGGAGTAGAATCCTGGACACCATGGACCTCACAACTGAGTACAAGCGGAAGCTTCTGGACATGGAGATAAATATGCAGACACACAGGTGCACTATCACTGCTGTCTTACAGATGGAGCGCCCTCCGCTGCCTGTAGAGACCCGTTCTCACTGCATCGCCCCTCCCCCAAACTCCACACCGGGGCTGACTGCACACCGATGGAGCGTCCTCCGCTGCCAGTAGAGACGTGTTCTCACTGCATCGCCCCCCTCCACCAAACTCCACCCCGGGGCGGACTACACACCGATGGAACAGACAACCCAGTTACGCACGATCAGGGTGTCTGCAGATCACCTCCGACAAGTCTTCTCCCAAAGATACGAGAGAAGACTAAAAAGCGTTAAGAGGGAAACTGATCTTCCGCTCCCCTCAAATACAGCTCTTACCTGGACTTCCCACAAAATCTCCCCTAAGACTACACCTGCCCTCTGCTGCATCAGGAATTCACCCACAGCTCAGATGAAAGACAAACTTGGCTTTGAACCACTGTCTTCTGAAATTCCAAACACCCGTCGTGACTGTGGTTAGTGCCTCCGCCAGTGAGGCAAGGGTGAATCTCCAGGGAAGAGACCTTCCCACCATCTCTTCCCAGCCCCCATCGTACACAGAAGGAATCTGAGCTTGGAGACGCAGCGGTGATTGTGCAAGGTCAAACAGGTCAAACAGCAAGGAAGATGGCGTCAGGGTGAGAACCAGCATCGTCCGCCCGGAAGTCTAACCACAGGACTCACCACGGCTACAGTCTTTTTTAGACTGAACTAAAAGCAGAGCCTTTTCACCTCCACTCCTGGAATAGAAAAAGCGCACAGGTCTGCTCCATCGCCCACATGATGGCCCTTGAAAGACTGGGAAGAAGCTCCCGTGCCGCCCTCTTCACCCCAGCCTGGCAACATTCACTCGCCCTTCATTCACGTCTCCTGGGATTCGGCTTCAAGGGCCCTCAGGCCCAGCCGCTCCTCAGCAGATCACAATCCAATTCCCCAGCGTCCCCTCCCCGCTCGCCAGAGTGACAGTGAAACCTATCACACGTGGCTTCCTTGATTCCAGGGACCACGGAACAAGCAACATCTCACCTCCTCTGAAACCCACACCAGAACACCAGCAGACAGGTGAGCGGAGCAGCGACAGGTGTCCTGGGCTGCCTGTGGGCGCAGGAGGGAGGCGTGGGGACTGCGGCGAGCAGGTGCAGGGGCCTCGCGCACAGGGCGACTTCTGTCCGCTCCAGCTGAGGCTCACAGGAGGGACCGTGCACCAGGGCTGCTGCCCCTGGGGGCTTTCTCTCAGAAGGGACCAGAGATCCTGATCTCCATGTGAAAATGCCAATTAAATAACAACTTGCAACAAATTAAATAGTAATACTAAAAATATGAGACACACACACCTCTGGGCAGATCTGGTCTGCAGTTTGTCTGCCTGCGTCCTGTGTTCTCAACCCCTGGTGCAGTCACACCAGAGCAGTCACGTGTGCTGGGCCAGCCTCTTTTTTTTTTTTTTTTTTTTTTTTTTTGACAGGCAGAGTGGACAGTGAGAGAGAGAGACAGAGAGAAAGGTCTTCCTTTTGCCGTTGGTTCACCCCCCAATGGCCGCCACGGGCAGCGTGCTGCGGCCAGCGCACTGCGCTGATCCGATGGCAGGAGCCAGGTACTTATCCTGGTCTCCCATGGGGTGCAGGGCCCAAGCACTTGGGCCATCCTCCACTGCACTCCCGGGCCACAGCAGAGAGCTGGCCTGGAAGAGGGGCAACCGGGACAGAATCCGGCGCCGCGACCGGGACTAGAACCTGGTGTGCCGGCGCCGCTAGGTGGAGGATTAGCCTAGTGAGCCGCAGCGCCGGCCACCAGCCTCTTCCCACAGCGGCCTCACCAGACCTCACCACTGACAGCACCGCCCAGGCTGCCCCACACACTGCTGTTGCGCTGTCTGAGCTCGGCCTCTGCTTGGCTGGCCTCTTCCTGTGTTGTTTGTTACTTGAAAGTAGACGTCCAGGCTGGGCACGTGCCCTGCAGCTACGTCACTGGTTGAGATGCCTGCATCCCATATCTGAGGCACAAGTTCAAGTCTCAGCTCTGCCCTGATTCCAGCTTCCTGATGTGCACCCCGGGAAGCACCAGTGATAGCGTAAGGAGCTGGGTACCTGTGAGCCACGTGGAAACCGAGAGGAGCTCTGGGCTCCTGGCTCCAGCCGGGCCCAGCCGCGGCTGTTGCAGCCATTTGGGGAGTGAACCAACAGAAGGGGGTCCTTCCCCGTTCCCTCTCCCTCCCAAATAAATAAACAGCTTCAATGTTAAACGTGACATTCACCCCCTTCAACCTTGCCACATCAGGCCGGGATGCCAGCGGCATCCTCGTGTTCTGGCGCCCCACTGTCACGCACGCCCGCTCCAGGAAGCGGATGTTTGGGGATGACCACATTTCCCGCCTCGCTAACTTCGCACTGTCCCTCATCTGTAGCACAGACCCGCAGCGCAGTGTCCCACAGAGGCAGGTCTCAGCTGACTCCTGCGAGATTCTCCGGGGACCACAGCGCTTTCTGCCCTGTGACGGAGTGGCTGCCGAGTGACAACTCTGCTGACGGAGGACACCTCCCCGGGGGCACAGTGACTGTGCCACATTCTCGAGGATGCCCCAGGGAGGTCAAGGCCAGGACACAGCTCTGTGGGCAACTCCACTCGTCTCGGAGTCACAGCAAAACTTACTGCCAACACTGACACTGACGTCGTAACAAACACTTGTCGGCCACTTTAATTAAATCGCACCAGGATCCGAGCAAGGTCTGGGCTCCCTAAAATGTCTGAACGCAGCCCTGGTCTTGGTGATCTGCAGACACCGCTGTGCTCCTCTGAAGAGGGGGCAAAAACTGCCTGCAAGAAGCCCCACCTGCACGAAGTGACAGACGTGACAGCTGAGCGAGACATCATCTCCCAAAACACTGTACTGACCAGACCAGGCCGTGAGACGGAGACGACCAGGCAGGAGGCGACAATGGGGTCCATGAGCTTGGACTTGCCTCTCTGGGAAAAGTGCTCCAGGGAGGGGACTAAGGCTGCCTCCAGCCGGGGCTCCACCCAGGCTCTCAGAAGGTCATGAAAGGCCCAGGCAACAACAGAGCCCAGGCTGTCATAAACACCCGTGCCCTCAGCAGTGTCTCCTTTCTGGGAGGACTCAGCGACGGTCGCAGACGTGCAGGGTCCAAGGCCAGCTCTGGCCACGCACCACCAGTACCTCTCACCTCCGCAGATCACCTCCTAGGACTCCGCCCAGCCCTTGCTAAATCCCAGGCCTGGAGTTCAGCGCTGCATCCTGAATACCAGGACAGCCAGGAGCCGCAGGGCAGGGCCTGCACTCCCTCCATCTGCAAGGGAATCCGCGTCCCAAGCCCAGGAAGTGAGCTCCCCCAGAGCCTGTTTCCTGTGTTATTTTTTAACCAGGACTCAAATGCCCCATGGCTTCCTTATCTGACGCTCTCTGAATGAAGACTCAGCCTCCCGCAGGTTGCCAGGAGGAGAAATGGACCCCAGAGCTCTCCCACAACTGGGAAACCCCTAGAGGCTTTTCTGTCTGCCGGAGAACCACGTTTCAGGTCCGGAGACCACGTTTCAGACCACATCCAAACAGCAGTCCACAGAACGTGGAGGATGGATCGTGGCCTTGTTGTAGTTTTCTACAACACAGCAACAATTGAAGGGAGACAGGGATGTTCCAAAGACAGAAGGCCTTTCTCCGCAAGGTCTCAGCTGCCAACGTGCCAGGAACATATGGGCAGAAGCCATCAGCGTGGAGCTTCGACGAGCACCCAAAAAGAGCGTGGAAAGAAACACACCCATGGCTGCTTCTCCACAGAGTCTGGAGGCAAAAATGCTGCCACCACAGTGAAGACGCCACAGAAACGCCCCGTGGTCGAATTCCCAGACTGAACTGTCTCCCTCCGGTTCTACTCAAAGCTCCGTGGGACACGATGAGCTTTTTAAAACTTGTAATGCCATCGATTTTAATGCACGTGAACAAACAGCTACCACATGCAGCTGGTGGCTCTCTTGTCTTGCCGCGAGGCAAAATCAGTTTTTAAATTTGGAAACCTGCACTTGTTGGCACCACACCCTAACCCACCGAGCTAACCGGCCACCTCCAAAAAGCAAAGCACCTGAAGAAGACACTGAGTAAATAATATTGACAGGCACACAGAGTTGAGAAAGCTGAGAAGGTAGTGCACGAACTCCTGAACTTAGGAAAATGTTGTCCTTCGAGGAAAGATGGAGGGAGGGAGAGCGAGGGAGAGGGACAAAGGCAGAGAGAGAGAAGAGAATGGACTGTCATTTCCATTTGAGAGCAGGGGTCTGGCTCCCTTTCTCAGGGAGGGGGACCCAGCACTGCGGGCTGCAGCCTGCTGGTCCTGCAGACTCTGCGGTCAGCCACGCACTCCTCTGTGGGGTCAATGTGGCTCCGGGCCTCCCAGCACAGGACGCTCAGACACAGCAAGGCTCTGGGACCGGGGGAGCCACGCGAGGGCGGTCCGGAGACAGGGTCCTGTTCTACCTTGATGACGTCTTCATCCGCAGACCTGCACTCCACGGACTCCGACACGTGCACCACGGAGCCGTCCTCTTGGACGCCCACGACTCTCACGGGAACTGACACAGGCTTGCCGGTGAGGATGGCGGTGTTCAGAAGCTCCGTGTCCTGAACGGGAGAGAAGAGGACACGGGTCAGCAAGCACACAGCTTGGGCGGGCAGTGGGCGAGACCAGCAATGCAGCAACCTGCCACCAGGGTGTCAGACCCACAGCCGGACCCTGGGCCTCGCCTCAGGCCCCCAGGCGCTGACCTCCACCCCCACCCCACCCCGACACCCCACAAGTGCTTCTCCATGTTTGCCGAATCTGGGCCTCAGGTTCGTTTGGGAAGGGACGGCCTGTTTCTCTGGGTTTATTAACGTAAATTAACTTAATGAACATTGCCTTCATTCTGGTTTCAAATTAGGAAAGACAACAGCACAAAGAAGAGAAGCAGCCACACCCTGTGAACCCCACACCCCGGGGCTGAGCACCAGGCCCCAGAGGGTCCCTCCAAGGCTCGCTCGCAGGGGTCTTCCTTCTCCTGATGCCCCGGGGCTCTCGGTCCTAGCCTCGAGATTTCCCCCACCGCCACACCACACTCCACTGTCAGTCTTACCCCATCGCCATGCCCACTCTCTTCACCAGTTTGAGCTCGCCTAACTCAGACTCTTTCCCTCCTGGGCTAAAATACCCTGCAAGGATCCTACTGTCCAAACTGACACACAAGGTGAGCTGACCCCGCCCATCCCCCCAGCTCCCCCTCGTCCCTCAGGGCCCATCGGCAGCATCTGAACCAGGTCACTGCCCCCGTGTCTGGGCTCCCTGACCTGCTACCTAGTGACCACATGAAGATCTGATGAACCAAGCCGTGTACACAGCTTAGAACGGGTGCACACGAGCAGCACGCACTTGGTAGAGAGGGCTGCCAGCACAGTGCTCTACGACATCATTTCAGTGAATGACAAGGTTCCCAGGGGTCTGACGGGGAGGCTACTTCCCCATGTGGCCGAAGAGGAGGCGTCAGCCAGAGCTGGTAGGCAACAGGCAAGACAGCTCAGCAACGCGAGTCCACGGACATTCAGCAGCGGGCTACACCAGGATCCACAGACATTCGGCAACAGGCTGCACCAGGATCCAGACATTCGGCAGTGGGCTGCACCAGGATCCACAGACATTCGGCAGCGGGCTGCACCAGGATCCACAGACATTCGGCAGCGGGCTGCACCAGGATCCACAGACATTCGGCAGCGGGCTGCACCAGGATCCACAGACATTCGGCAGCGGGCTGCACCAGGATCCACAGACATTCGGCAGCGGGCTGCACCAGGATCCACAGACATTCGGCAGCGGGCTGCACCAGGATCCACAGACATTCGGCAGCGGGCTGCACCAGGATCCACAGACATTCGGCAGCGGGCTGCACCAGGATCCACAGACATTCGGCAGCGGGCTGCACCAGGATCCAGACATTCGGCAGTGGGCTGCACCAGGATCCACAGACGTTCGGCAATGGGCTACATCAGGAACCACAGACGTTCGGCAATGGGCTACATCAGGATCCACAGACATTCGGCAGTGGGCTGCACCAGGATCCACAGACATTCGGCAGCGGGCTGCACCAGGATCCAGACATTCAGAAGCGGGCTGCACCAGGATCCACGAGACAGGACACCATTTCACTGCTCCTGTCACATGTGGAGGCCTCACTCCAGCTCAGGCACTCAGGGTTCCAAAATCAGCCCCTCACTCTCTATCTCAAATTTAGAAAAGGTTAAGAGATGCAGTCAATCTTTAATAATAATAAATAATGTCTAAGTCTTGGCTATTATGGGACAGGCCATGTCCTAAGAGCTTTACTTGTAATTAATTGCACATTCCATTTTCTAAGCACCCTCCTGAGACAGCTGCTAGTACTATTCCCACTGTATAGATGATTCGTTTCTCAGTGCTTTTTTTTGGGGGGGGGGGGGACAGGCAGAGTTAGACAGTGAGAGAGAGACAGAGGGAAAGTTCTTCCTTCTGTTGATGGCCACTACGGCCAGCATGCTGTGCCGATCTGAAGCCAGGAACCAGGTGCTTCCTCCTGGTCTCCCATGCGGGTGCAGGGCCCAACCTCCACTGCCCTCCCGGGCCACAGCAGAGAGATGACTGGAAGAGGAGCAACTGGGACAGAATCTGGCACCCCAACCGGGACTAGAACTCGGGGTGCCAGCGCCACAGGCAGAGGATTAGCCAAGTGAGCCGCAGTGCCGGCTTCTCAGTCCTTTTAAACCTGGAAATAGTGGCTTCTTGTCAAGAGAAGACATGAACTCCATGTCCACTTCATCTAGGAACTGGAAGATGTAATCTTGATACTGTGGCTCTCCTCTGGTCAGAACCCTGAACAGAGAAATCCATGACTCCGACTCTGACTTCTCCAGTCTCACCAGCGATGCAATCCATGCACATTCATGCATTCTGACACGCAGGGCACACACCAAGCACGGGACCTGCTGCAGACGCTGAGGTAAGCGCTAAGGCGGGACGAGGACGCACAGGCGGGGACAAGGACAACAGGAACAAGGGACAAAAACTGCCCCCTGCTTCCAGGACACACCGCCAAACTCAGGTCCGTAACACAACTGAAAAAGACCCACGCGGAAGTTTCCTGAGTGCTGCAGGCAGGCGCTAATTTCGCCTGCCAGGCCTCCTTCCGCCTCTTTGAGCGCCAGGACTTCTTCCCTCCTGTGAGTCCCATTCCTGCTCAGTGCAGCTTTGGGTCGCGCAGGCTGCGGGCCGTCCAATCAGCTTCCTGGAAGGGCACATAGCCTAAGTAAGGTCCATCAAGACGTGGCGATACTTTGTCCACAAAGACTGACTCAAGTGAGGCCCAAATGAAGGAAACCAGAGGCAAGCGTAGGAGAGAAACCAGTGTCTGAAAAGGGTCTCTGGGCTCCTGAGTCTGTTCAACTTGGAAATTTGGGTGTGCAAAGTAAACTGTTGCCTTCAACCTGCTTGTCACTTGCAACTGAAAGTGTAAATTAAGAGGACAGGCAATGTGCTGATCCCCTGGGAGAGAGGCTGACCGTCACCTGCACGCTGACCCCCCAGGAGGGACAGGCTGAGTGACACCTGCACGCTGACCCCCAGGAGGGACAGGCTGAGTAACACCTGCACGCTGACCCCCAAGAGGGACAGGCTGAGCCACCTGCACACTGACCCCCAGGAGGGACAGGCTGAGTGACACCTGCACGCTGACCCCCAGGAGAGACAGGCTGAGTGCTGCCTGCACACTGATCCCCAGGAGGGACAGGCTGACCGTCACCTGCACGCTGACCCCCAGGAGAGACAGGCTGAGTGACACCTGCACGCTGACCCCCAGGAGGGCAGGCTGAGTGACACCTGCACGCTGACCCCCAGGAGGGACAGGCTGAGTGACACCTGCACGCTGACCCCCAGGAGGGACAGGCTGAGTGTTGCCTGCACACTGACCCCCAGGAGGGACAGGCTGAGTGACACCTGCACACTGACCCCCAGGAGGGACAGGCTGAGCCACCTGCACACTGACCCCCAGGAGGGACAGGCTGAGCTGCCTGCACGCTGGGGAGGCTCTCAGCACGGCAGAGTCCCCACCCTGCCTTTCAAGGCAGGTGACCTCATTTTTCATGACAACACTTCTTCACTGCCCCAGGCCTGTGATTTTTTTATACATAATTTACAGCCTCATTTCTCTCTTCAGCCTCTTCGTGTGTGGATGAGTTTTTTGCACTTTTGTCCCCAGCGTCCATCCACAGCCTCTCCAAAATGCTGAAGGCCATCCCTTCCAACCTGCGGCGCACTGAGGAGTGAGGTGCCATGCTAAACATGGTGCCAAAGCAGCCTCCTGGCTCCTGAGGCTGCGACGAAGTCGCCGTCTGCCAGAAGGCCAGTCTTTCGCTCTGCTCCGAGCGCAAGCTCTAGACTTGACGCCTTGGAAGCATTTGCATTCTTTGTGAAGATGCAGGCACACGAGTGCTGCATGCCAGAGTGATGTCAGTGGAAATGGCAGAGGGAGAGCACCAAAAAACTCTCTTCTCCAAAAGAGCAGCAAGAAAACTGGCCATGTCAAAGTGGGTTTTTTCAGAGCTCTAGAAATAAACAGCAGGCGTATGACCAGGAGAGCAGTCATCCAAGAAGCCTGGCTCACTCAGTAAGAACACTCTGAAGCGACCCGTTCCTTCCTCCGGCGCTCCGGTAGCTTTGCAAAACAGCAGCCCCTATTCTCACCGAAACCTGGCAGCGCGGGAGCCATTGGAGAGAGCAGATCAGAGCTGGAGACCTTTCAAAACCTCGTTCTCAACCTCGTTCTCAAGTAATTGTTGCTTGGTGGGTTCCTGAAGCCCCCATCGGCAAGGCTGTCCCTGTTTGACCCGGCTGCTCATGCAGTGTGGAAAGCCTTCTCCCTAGAGAGGTTTGTCAAAAACAATTGCAACCCATTGTTGAACTTCCTGGCTGCCTGAAACAGTGTATAGCAGTTGAATCAAAAAGATGGGGCCCTGGAGGGGCCATGCCACGTTCCTGGGCACCTGTGAGACAGACACAGGGCAGCACACAGGCCCAGGGCTGTGCTCATACCCAGCAAAGACCAGAGCAGACCGAAACTCTCACCTCGGGCTGACTTGGAGACTGTGAACGCTAAGGCAGGTTCCAGGAGGTAACACCCGTCAGCTCCCGGTTTACAGCCAGTGAGTCGCAGCGGCTCTCCTAGAGGCAGGGAGCTCTACGGAAGGCAATGGCCACAGCGCCTTCCTTGGTGGGAATCCGGAAGTCCAGCGGATTTGAACTCTCAGAGGTGACAGGCAGGTCAAAGGAAATCTGAGGTGAAGCCCCCGTGCGACAGAGCTGTGTGCCAGCACCACGAGTCAGCCCACAGTGGGGTGCCCCAGTGGACACCAGAGGTTGGCCCAGGCTTCCCTGGCTCATAGTTTTAGACACTGACAGTCCAAGACTGGGCAAGCCCATGCACTCAGCCTCTGGCAAGGACCTCACAACACGGCACAGGAACAGAAAGGACAACAACCACGTGTGCAAGGGTCCAAAGACTCGAGCGGAGCTTGCTTTAAAACAAGGCACTCACCAGATCCAACCCAGCCCCACAAAAACCGTA